TTATATAGTCATGCCAATCAACCTGAACAACCCCTCACCCATAACTATCCATGGTAAAGTGCTTGAATCTGTAGATGAATTTACATATCTAGGCAGCCTCATAAGCAAGGACAATGGAGCCAGAAAAGACATCCAAGCAAGGTTAGGCAAGGCGACTTCAGCCCATCTGGAAGTCGAAACAGTACAGCCTAAAGATCAAGCTATACAACAGTAACGTAAAATCAGTCCTCCTCTATGGATCAGAATGCTGGCGTGTTGTAAAGGCAGACATGGATAAGATCAGCGATTTCCACAACAGGTGTCTACGAAAGATTTGCCGTATCTTTTGGCCTCAGAAAATATCAAACGAAGACCTGTACCACAAAACAGGCTCAAATAACATCATTCAAGAAATTAAACGTCGGCGTCTTAAGTGGCTTGGTCATGTTCTTAGGGTGGCGCAGGAACGAATCCCGAAAACATCAATTTGGTGGACCCCTGTTGGGAAACGCAAGCCTGGACGGCCTAAAACCACCTGGCGAAGAACAGTCGAGGCAGAGCTGCTAGAGATGGGACTGACTTGGGGCGAGGCGTTGAAGTTAGCGAAGAACCGAAAAGAATGGCATCACCTATTTCCCACTAGGGAAGATGGGGATAAGTAAGTAAACCTTGATATGAATATTAATGAAAAACAAAGTAAATGTCATATGGTGTGACAGCTGAGTCATATGGTGTGACTGGGAAAACTTGTCACACCATATGACATTTTGATCAGTCAAGCTAATTTATTAGCAAACGAAAAACAGCTAGCCAATAGTTAGCATGTAATTAGCCACTTGGTAGCATTGATCTTTAATAATTAATAAGTAAAATGTGTGAGAAAAGTTTGTTTTTCATGCAAATAATGTCACACCATAAGACACAAATCAGTGACCACTACTGTTGACATCAGATTCATAGCTTTTCAACTAAAAATCAAAAACACAAGTCACCTTAAGAAATCTACAAGTCATTCCAGAGATGTTACTGTACCGTCCTGGTTGGGTGTGATTTTCTTTGTCATTATGATGTCCAAATTATTGCCCGTTCAAAATGTACATTATAGTGTCACGCCATATGACGACCACTTTGTGGACAAAATGTATTTGGTCATAATTTGTTTTGACGTAATGCCTAAACATCAAGACTTAATGTGATTATTGATAACACAGTATTATATCATAAGCACTATAGAACTATCAAATATTTATAAATTATTTGGAAACATGCTCCTATTTCTGAGGACACACATATGCCGGACAGTCACACCATGTGACATTTTTGATGTTTAGATCAAAATTCCACACAGAAATCTTATTAAAACCACAACACCTTTGGTATTATTTTTACTTTATCTTGCCAGGGGGACAATATTTATATATGTATTCTTAAAAGTTTTGAATTTTTATGAGTATGTGACACACGGACGGTCAGAATTGTGTTATTCGTCAACCACCCATATACAGAAGGGACTATGTAGAGAACTAGCATACAGTACAATAAAACATTTCCATTTAACAGTGAATTGACTAGACACTGGAAAAACAATTCGCTCATTTTTTTCTTTTTTTTGACTAAAAATTATGGGAGAATTACAATTGAAATTACACATCATGAATACACATAAGGCCCACCTAGTTGGGATATCACACTGTGTCTATCCAGTCTTTGCTTTTTTGTCCTTTTAGATGCAGCTTCTGAGTCAGTCTTGCATTGTTTAGCAGTTTGTACCTCTTGTTTCCACAGATCTTCAATGTTGGTTTCATTCCTACAGTCTTTAAGAGCCTGTGAAAAGAACTCCAATCATACATATATGCAAGTACTAAAAACATGTATAAACAAGTTCTGTATTTACATATAAAAACAGATGCATTTTTATACTGTCTATACACTCTAAAGGGATAACATTACAACATTTCTGAGCTGCTACAAAATCTGTGTCAACTGAAATACTTGGTTGAACGAGACTGAATGGAAGGTGCATTGTTGACATGTATTTGTATGGGAAACAGATAGTGAGACATGGCTCTGCAAAAAAGCTTTGTCAGAAAAATAATAGTTACTGGAAGTAACTCCAGGTCTCTGTTGAGTGAGTGATGTGGCCAGACTTTAGTTTGTGACTCCACATTTGTTGTTGTAATCAAATAGAAAGAATCTAAAGAATTAGAGAAAAGGGTTTTGTACTCACCATTTTTGTCATTAAGTACAGTAAATGCAACTGAGCCATTATGTTTTAACATATTACCAACGCTATCTATTGAGTGTACTGAATATATTAACATTAATTATTATTATATCTGTGAATAGGGGGATGCTGGACTTCCAATCAACCTGTGGTGTTTCCATACAAAATCAGAAAGGGGACAAGGACTAATGTGGTTAGCATTTATCATTAATTCCTCGAGGTGGAGCCAACAGATCACAGGCATCAGAGAAGTGAAACGTTTACGTCCATTTGGTGGCGCTACGTACCAAGCCTTGAATGAGGAGCTACACCGGGACAGTAGAAGAAGCTTCCCCTACGACTTTGACGTTTCAGCAGCAGCGTCTGTCTTGACCTTCCTACAGCAGCGTGACCAACTAAAAGGTAAGAGAAGAGTTCATATTTATTTAGCAAAGTAACTGATCATAACAGGGCGACACTCTTTGCAACACAACAGCAATTAAAAATGAAGCAGCTGTCTGTTACTACGGTCTTACGTGCTACTTTTGAAGATGTACTCCTCTACCTAGCTAGCTAGCTAGCTAGCTAACTAGCTGTTAGCTAAGGCTAGCTGGCGTTGCACAGTTGAGAAGAAGCTAACATTTAAATTACCAGCCATTCAGTGATTTAAATAGTTAATTCGTCGTATTAAATTAAGCAGTATATATCGCTTTGTGTTATATCTGCTTGTAAATGTTCTCTTCACTCTGTGACCGATGTGCATCCATTTGACACTAACGCTGACTTAGCTAGTGAGATCTGAGGTTGAAAATTAGCACTAACATTAGCTTTAGCTTACGATACCTTGTCTTCGGTAAGATAAGCGATGTTCCCCTAACGGAAAGGCAAAATGAATTTATGCCACAACACCTCTTCTTTTGATCACTGTTTCCCAGTTGGCCAGAGGCATTAGTTCAGGGGTGTCCAAT